ATATAAACATATCTTCAGGCTATGTGTAAAAGGTATATATGAAACATCAATGGAGGTATTCCAATATTGCAGTCTAAACAACTAGAAATATAGTATCAGCGTGAAATTAGTAGACCATTATGGAATGTCTTATTTCTGTAAGCTAAAAGGTGTATTCAGAAAGAGTCTGAGACTCCTTCCACACTGATCCCAGATTATCTACTTATCCCAGATTATCTGGCAGTGGAGACTCATATGATCTAGTTTAAAGCAGTTAATCTGGGATCAGATTCTGGGAGATAGGGTTGGATAAAAGGGACCTGAAGAAGTAATATCTTTTGGTGAGGATATGTAGTAATCATTGTGAAGTCAAAGTGAGCTTTCCTCTCCCTTTTCCTGTTCATGCTTTTTTATGAATAGATACTACAGAGGCAACTTTTTACTGGCAGCAACTCTTGAATGATACTGAAACATTGGTCTGGGGAGTAGAAAACCAGGCTTAGCTACTCCATGGACACCCCCTAGTTAGCATCACTTCCAATGGCTGTCAAGTAGGACCAGATCCTGGGAAATTGATCAAGGAGGCAGCTTAGAATGAGAGCAATGTGGGAAGAAGGGAATTCTTTCTCTTCTACCTTCAAGCCTTCTCATCAGATTGTTGTAGGCATTGCGAGCTAGTGTTTATAAATCTGGAAAAAAAAATCAGTACTCATGCTCAATAGAAATTGTCCTTCTTCCTGTGAACCAGGCCAAGGATTAAGATTTTAAAAATACATTTTGAAATATTTTTTTCCTCATCCTGAATAAAGATGTGCCTCTCCAGGACCCCAAATGTTTTAGAGCAGGGATCCACCAATTTGTTTTGTTTCATTTTATGTTATTTTTACATGTTTTAAATATATTTCCACATTTTAAGGATTTTTAAAAATCCTTTTTGATTTTATAGGGTTTTTTAAAATGTATATTTCTCTGGATGTGATTTTATACCACTGTTAATTGAACAGCATATAAACAAGAGTTTGGTATGGTCATTGTATTGCAATTCCCATCAAGCTCTAGTTGGCATAGCAGAAAGTGAAAGATGATGGAAGTTGGAATCCATTAACATTTGATAGGGTTTTGTATGCATGGTTTAACCCCAAAATGAATGCTGTGAATAAACAGATAATTTTCAGTGGTTTTGTTGGAATCTTGCAGCATTAATGTACAATCGTATTCATGATTAAGGTAAAGATTTTCCCCTGACATTAAGTCCAGTTGTGTCCGACTCTGGGGGTTGGTGCTCATCTCCATTTCTAAGCCAAAGAGCCAGCATTGTCCATAGACACCTCATAAGTCATGTGCCAGCATGACTGCATGGAATGCTGTTACCACCAGAGCAGTACCTATTGATCTACTCACATTGGCATGTTTTCGAACTGCTTGGTTGGCAGAAGCTGGGGCTAAGAGTGGGAACTCACGCCTCTCCCCAGATTCGAACCTGTGACCTTTCAGTCAGCAAGTTCAGCAGCTCAGTGCTTTAACCCACTGCGCCAGATTCATGATTACCCAATAGTAAATTACATTGAATTCAATGGGATTTAATTGTAAGCAAAGTCTATGTGGGGTTGCGTCCTTAAGTAGACATTGTACAAGACTACAAACATTTGATGTAAGCTAACATTTAGTCCTGCTATGGTCAGATAGGGATACCTTTAATGTGTGGCAAACATACAGTACAATGAACGTGGAACTGTGGGTTGATGCACTTTAAACGATTGCTCCTTATTTGATGTGCAGCATAAGTCCATTAAAAATCACTGGGAAGTCAGTTGTTTTATGGAAAGAGAGACATAATACCATGTGCTTGCCAGATCTAGCTGTCAGACATGCAATAAAGAATCCTTAACATGCTGTGTTTAGGAATAGCAACAGCTTTTAGGTATTACTTATTAGATTATCCCTTGGAAATGAATGTATTGGAAATAGCAACAGTATCCCAGCTGATAGAAACATCGGCCACCATCCATCATCCAGTTAAATGTGGTTAAGCTCATTAATTTAAATCCTGTGTTGAACCAAGGCCCTTGTTTATCTTGCATCTGTACAGCACGGGGTGCTGACTTTGGTTTTCTAAATCACACATATATGTTTCTAAAACATGAACCTTTATATATGAGGTGTCTTTTGCTATTTTAATTTGTAATCTTTGAACACATGTCTTAACAGCTTTGGAAAAGAGAAAGTGCCAGTGCTTGCCACTGAATAACGCTCTGTTTTGCAGGAAAAAGTGAAAGGAATGAGTAATGTTGGTGTTTTAAATATGCACCGAACTGCCTTTGGGACTATAAAACATTTAATAGGTTACTTATGCTGATTACACCACTTGGAATAGCTGGCCAAAACTCGGCTTATATTTATTGATCTGCAATAACTGTGTGAGGATGGTGTTATAACATAATTTAGTCTCTAGGTGGCAATGGACTCAGTTTGGTTGGAGTCTTGCTTGTCCTGGGTGGTTGTAGGTTTTTTCGGGCTATATGGCCATGTTCTAGAGGCATTCTCTCCTGACATTTTGCCTGCATCTATGGCAAGCATCCTCAGAGGTTATGAGGTCCTGTTTTTAACTGGGAAATGATAAAACTCTTCTTTGGCTTCCTGATCTGCCTCTCCCCTGTATGATGATTTCTGGGATTTTTAAAAGTGAAATGGTCTGTCTATGCCATAACCTCTTAAATGCATTAAATAGGAGATACTAATCTTCTATAGAGACCTGACTCATACTGATAAACAAATTCTAAATGTGGCTGACAGCGGAAGAGATTAGATCCAAAATAGTCTGAAAAATGAGGCTGGGATTCTCTCTCTCATGAACTTGCAGTGGGAAAGTGCATAGAAGCATCCACACTTCTGTTTGGATTCTGTATTTCGAAAAGGAAAAAATAAAACTAGAATGAATCCCATTGTGGCAAGTAAGAATTTCACAAATCCCCTTGTCTTGTCTACAGTTTGACCATGTCTTACAATAATTGTTACCATAAGTGATTAGGCATTGTTTTGAGTTTTAAACTGTTGTTTTTATATGCTGTAGTTTTTAAAAGTGTTGTATTGTATTGTGTCTTTATTTTATGCTTTGTCTTGGCACATTTTGCCATATGTAAGCTGCCCCAATTCCCTTTGGGGAGATGGAGGCAGAGTACAAAAATAAAGTAGTAGTAGTAGTAGTAGTTGCTATTATTATCTGACAGAGATGGCAAGTCATCCTATTTCTGGTCCCTCTCAGTTTCTCAGATATTATTTCTTCCTTAATTCTGCGCTAATAGCCCCATCTACACTGCCGTATCATGCAGTTGCATTCATGTAATGCAATTCATTGCAGTTAAACTGCATTATATGAGTCTACACTAACAATATATCTACACTGCTGTATCATGCAGTTGCACTCATGTAATGCAATTTAATGCAGTTAAACTGCATTGTATGAGTCTACACTAACAATATATGGCAGTGTAGATAGGGCCACAGTCTTTTTAAAAAATCCCACAATGCAACATCCAAAGGATGGTTATGTTCCCATCCAGTGGCCCATCAATCTTAGGGCAATGAGGTCCTTTCTCAGCTTTCACGTCAAAAACATGAAAGCTGAAATTGATATATTAACGGCTTTGATTAGAGAAAAATCGTTGATGATTTTGGCGACCAAAAATATTTTACTGGATTTTTGCAGAGTGATATGAATACTATACAGATTTTAGCTTATACTAACAGATTGTGTTGAGCAGAAGTACATTAATGTTTATTCTGAAATAATAAAAAACTTTATTTATATCCCGCCCTATCTTCCCGTGGGGACTCAGTGCAGTTTCCAACAAATCAGGCAAACATTCAATGCCTAGATCAAAAACGACGGGCATAAAAATGTAAACAGAAAAAAACCACTAAGCATTGTATAACTGAAAGTTAAAATAAACAATTTACATCAGATAATAACAATTTAAAAAGCCAGCTTTGCCAGAGTGTCATACCAGTTCCATTCCATTTAGTCTGTACTATGGATTTTATACCTCCTCATTATATGCTTGTGAGCATTAAAAAGTTTTAAGCATTTTTTTAAAAAAAGACAGTAAGGGGGGGCACTTTGATTTCCTTGGGGAGGGAGTTCCAAAGGCGAGGGGCAACCATAAGAAGACTAACTCTCTCATTCCCACCAGCTGTACTTGAGACGGGGGTGGGACTGAGAGCAGGGCCTCCTCCACTGATCTTTGAGATATTCCTTGAGAAACTATATCAAAATGTGCTGCAGGATGTCCCGCAAAAGCAAAGTGTTTGCAGTTCAATAAACTTTTTCATGTTTTATGATAGAATCAATTAGAAGATATATTTATAACCCCAGAACAAAAATCGTGTTACATAGTATATTAGAATGGGAAACATTCTCACAAAACGTCACAACAAAAGCCTTTAAAAACAATACTAAGTTTGTGAGTGCCTTAGTGAGAAGACCTGGCCATGATGTCTGCCATTATAATTAAAATTATAAACTAATTAGAAAATATAAAAGTGATAATTTAATGGAGACTGGGAATGGGTGCTTAATTGATCTGTAACAAAAATGCTCCCAGTAGCAATACACTACCAGCATTTTGTTGCAGTTCTGCTCATAAACAAATAAATTCAGTTTCCTGTATGTAATTAGCTGAAACCTTTGGGAAGACTTTATATAGGGTTCAGGTATATCCATCTTTTGTACAAGTGGGGTTTTCCATTTTGAAAAATGGAAATTATTCAACTCTATTTAAGCTGGCTTTCTTTTTAATGGGTTTTTATGTGACAAGAGCCGGATTCATGTGACTTTAAGTTTTTCTAGGAAGCAAAGTATGTTTGTGCTTTAAAGCTTGTGGTCATCAGTTATACGAAGATAAACTCTAGTGATGTTTTAAGATTGGGAGATTTGGTTGCCTAAAAGAAGGTGGTTATCGGGAAAATGCATTCTCCTATCACAAGACTAATGTGTTTTATGATGTTTCTATGTTTCTCCCTAGTCTCCAAAGTTTGTAGCAGAAGTCAACCAAGATCTTGTCCTGCTGACAGAAGAAAAACTTGAAGACAGCCCCTGTAAAGAGCTCTTCTCACCTTGCGTGAAGTAAGTATAATGTGGCAGCCAAATGTCACGTTATAGTTTGGCTGCTGTCTGTGCAATTCGCTTCTAATAAGGTCTCGGTGAGAAATCGATCATTTGTTTCTGCCCTTTATTTGGTGCCTTAAACTCTGGGTGGGCAACACATGGCCTGCCGTTGATGTTTTCTTCCATCAAATACTGTTTGTGTGGCCTCACCGCCCTCCTGCCCCTGGTAAAATTCAGCAGCCAAAGAATATTTAAAGTACATTCACTGCTTAAAACAAAGCATATGGGAAGCCCCCAAGAAGTGCTGTTCTCTTGCAAAACAAGGTGTGTGTTCCGAATGAAGTTTTCGGAGGTCTGCCTCCCACTTCTGTCATCAAACCCCACAGCACACAGATGCAGGATCTAGTTCAAAGAAAGATTTTAAATCTAAAATATTTCTGGAAAAAGTATTGTCAAAGGCTTTTGTGACTAGAGTCACTGGGTTGCTATGAATTTTCTGGGCTGTATGGCCATATTCCAGAAGCATCCTCTCCTGACATTTTGCCCACATCTATGGCAGACATCCTCAGAGGTTGAGGGGTCTGTTGGAAACTAGGCAAGTGAGGTTTATATATCTGTGTAATGTCCAGGGTGGGAAAAATAACTCTTATCTGCTTGAGGTAAATGTGATGGTTACAATTGACCACCTTGATTAGCATTTAATGGCCTAGCCAAAGTTTCCATTTGCTATGGCATACAGAGTGTTGTTTTTATTGTATTAGAGTGTATAGCAAAGAAAGTCCCAGCTATTTGGGATATCCCACCAAGTGTCACCAATTATAACAAACTGTCCCCAATTATCACAAACAATGGAGGGACAGGAGGTAGAATTTGCCTGAGGCACATTGTACACACAAGATGAGGACAATAGGCAAAAAACAAGGCTTGCCCAAGACAAGGCCGTGAGGGAATCAACGCACATGTATCCTCACTCACACAATGCCAGACAGTGGAAAGCCACCACTGTATATTATATTTTGCCTTTGCTCCTTCCAATATTTATTAAAGATTACTTTAGCTGCCACTAATTTATTATTTTCTTAGGCCACCTCCTTTACTAGAATCTTCATCAAGCCACATGCAGACTTTAGTTGGAATGAAACAGGAAAATGTTGTTTATTTTGAACAGTCAATGAGCATAATGGTTGCAGATAACTTATCAGGCTTTTCTGGTTACAGAGGATAGCTCCACACATAAGAACTCAAATGGGAATCTTTTAAAACCTTTTGAAATTTCGCTTTGTCCTACACAGCACTCTAAACACTATAGAGGCCTATTAACTTTATTCTTCAAAGAGATATCTTTCCTATAACAAAACAGTTCCGAATTCTCTTCCTTCTTCCTTCCCCCCTTCAAAACTCCTAATCCTTCTTCTTCCCCACAAATCTCCTAACTGATCTTAAAATGGCTGCTATCTTTTTCTCTTTGGCTCTGTCTCCTTCCATCTCCAACTACTGAGCTTTTCCCTCCAATTTCATCAGCCAATCAGGCTCCACTTCTGGCCTAGAGACTGCCTGATTGCTCCACCCCTCAACTCTGCTTAGCTTCAGCAAGCTGGGCCTTTTACACCAACCGTTTACACACCAACCCTTTAGGGTAGGCCAGTCTGTTATAGAGTGCACCCCTCCCTTTTAAAAGCCCTTTCCCATGCACTTGGCTATGGTGGAGATTATTGTTTCCAACACTGGCACTCCAGTTATGGAACGCCAATCCTAAAGAGTCCTCTTGATCAAGTCAATCTCAGTTATTAGGAGTAGGGAAACTAGGTTATCCCTGAGATGCCTAAATGAAGGGGGGGGGGGAGTTACAGGTTTTAGCCACTTTATAAAAGTATGTGCAAAATCTTTCTTTTTATCAAGAATTCAAACAGGAGAGTTGTGGGACAGATAGTCACATGTTGTGTCGTCCTTTTGTCTGGGAAAGGGCTTATTAGTTTTGCAAGCTCACTACAATTTATCTGTTGTGGTGTAAACCTCTCTTACATAGATTTGCATCTTCCAAACTCTAGCTATTGTATTTATCCAGACATCAGCCCCCAGAAAAAGCAACAATTTTAAAATGGAGCGATTACTGAAATGCATCCCATCAAATCTCTGTCTAGACACCTTTTGTTGCTTGTGTAGATATTTGCAACCTGTATCCATCTATCATCCAGCAAATCTGCTTATATGTTTGAATTATTTTTCTCACTGCTATTGTTTGCTCTTTGTTGTGAAAGAAATGAGAATTGTTGATGGCATTAACAACAGACTGGCTTTGTCACAGTGATTTTGTTTGTTTCGTATATGTTGGGTGACCAGTATAACATGTACCAGATGAACAGAAGTCTTATTCAACACATACAATTTATAAAGCTAGGCTTGAAACCTGTTGGTCATTCCTTTGGCACAGAGTGATTCCAAAGCTTAGAATTCGTTGCAAAAAAACTATGTCAAAGAGCAATTAAAAACCAAACTCAGCTGTGAAAAACAGTTCATTTCTTTAAAGAATGAACTTGATTGTATATCTGACATAAACAGTTTTGCCAAGCTTATGCTTAGCTGAGTGCTTTAAGGAGAGCATGAAACCACAATACCTGATTGGTTTGTATTTTCATAATTTTTTCAATTTTAAGATTATAACTAGAGAATTGACTGGTAACACAGTATTAAATACAAATGACTGACTAAACAGTATGACCCTCTTATCCACAGATTCAATATCAATGGTTTCATTTCAAGTGGAAGATAGTTATATTGTGAATTTTTATGCAGTACAGCCTTCTCATCCTGAGACACAATATCCACTGTTCTTTTTACACACACTCCAAGTGTGCCATTATTATTTTACACACACTCAAACCCTCTAGTGTGCCATTATTATTATTATTATTAATATTAATATTAACTATATTATTATATGGTTCTGACCAAAGTAAAGTCAAAATGTAGGGTTCATTGTAATTCATGGTTTCAGATAACCACAGGAAGGCTTGGCACATATTCCCTGCACATACAGGGGATCGTACAGCATTGATATTTTATTTATTTATTTACAGTATTTGTATTCTGTCCTTCCCACCCTGATGGGGACTCAGGGCAGATCACAGAACAAGTAGACGGAAAACATACAATGTTGATTATACAAGACAAACAACAGATAGAGGTATATGTAGGCTTTCCCCATCTTTTGGCATCTTTGAAGACTGTTCTCAGTTCCAGCCACAGAGAGGTGCTGTTGCTCCATCTCCTTGCCGAAGAGCTTTTCTCTGTTTGTAAACTTCCTCCTTTTTCTGATCGAAACACCTGCCTAAAACACCTCCCCCCTTTAATGCAGTTCCTATTTGCTCACATTTGTTTTCAAACTGCTAGGTTGATAGAAGCTGGGCTAAGGTCAGGCGCTCACCGTGACCTGGGCTTCAAACTATCAACCTTCTGGTTGGCAAGATTTATTGCAACTTGGTGATTAACCTGCTGTTATCAAATATCACATCAAGAAATATTAACAGTTTGATAACAACTATGTGTGTTCATGTAAAATATCCATTTTCATGTGAAGGAGTAAATCGGGGAAAAGGAATCATCTTTGTAATGAAGCTCAGAATTGTAAAATGTTTGTCATGTTTTCTTTTTTCATCTGAGACAGATCTGTTCGTGAGTATTTAAGCGGAGAGCCTTTCCAAGAATATACAGACAGCATGTATTTTGATAGATTCCTCCAGTGGAAATGGCTGGAAAGGTAGGTGTTTATGATAAGCAGTTATGATGAGATGGAATATGGAAATGGATTGATGTAGAACAGTGTTGTCAGTCCTTTTAGCATTTGTGAGTGAATCAACATTCATCCTTCTGGCCTCAAAGGTGTAAAAAGAGCATCACTTAATCAGTCCTAAGCTGCCGTCACCTCTTCCTCCTTAGGTAAAGGTTTTTCCCTGACGTTAAGTTCAGTTGTGCCTGACTCTGGGGGTTGGTGTTCATCTCTGTTTCTAAGCTGAAGAGCCGGTGCTGTCTGTAGACACCTCAAAGGTCATCTGGCCAGCATGACTTCATGGAGTGCCATTACCTTCCCGCCAGAGCAGTACCTATTGGTCTACTCACATTTGCATAAACCAGGGGTCCTCAAACTAAGGCCCAAGGGCCGGATGCGGCCCTCCAAGGTCATTTACACGGCCCTCGCTCTGGGTCAACCTAAGTATGAAACTACTTGAAAGCACACAATAACAACAACAATCCTATCTCATCAGCCAAAAGCAGGGCCACACTTTCCATTGAAATACTAATAAGTTTATATTTGTTAAAATTGTTGTTCATTTTAATTATTTTATTGTTTTAAAATGTTTTTTGCACTACAAATAAGATATTTGCAGTGTGCATGATTTTTTCGAATTATAATCCGGCCCGCCAACAGTTTGAGGGATTGTGACCTGGCCTTCTGTTTAAAAAGTTTGTGGACCCCTGGCATAAACTATTAGGGTAGCAGAACATGGGGCTAACAGCGGGAGCTCATGCCACTCCCCGGATTCGAACTGCCAATCTTTCAGTAAGAAAGTTCAGCAGCTCAGCGTTTCAACCCACTGTGCCACCAGGGCACTTCCTTTTCCCCACTTTATTTATATCTCACCTTTTCCCCAAGGCCAGGTCTCAGGGTGGCTTATACATTTTAAAAGTTAAAGTGAAAAACATACCGATGTGAATTAAATTAAAATCATATATTCTACTGGATGTGGAAAACGATCAACTATACAGTTTAAAACCGTGCACGACTTAAAGCACTTTTTCAGTTCTACAGAGCAGTGGATTCAGATTTCATGAAAAGAGATTCCACCTGAAGATTAAAAAGAACTTTCTAATGGTAGCAGCTATTGGACAGTGGAATACAGGCAGCCCTCAAGCTACAAACACTTGACTTACAAATGGCTCATAGTTAAGAACTGATTGAGACAACAGGAAGTAAGGGAAATTGACCCCTTGGTAGGGAAACTCAGTCCCAAAAGAGTTATCATGGGGAAAAGGTGTCTCCATTGAAGCTTTGTCACCAGTAAGCCAAACTTTTTGAAATCCATTTATCACAGGGACAGAAATTGAGCTGGAATCTTCTGAACAGGGGCACACGGAGCAAAACAAATTCCGGGAGGTGTTACCTTTCCCTATGCTATCCAAAGCCTATAAAGCCCTAAACGGTTCTGGCCCAACTTACCTGTCCGAACATATCTCCCCTTACGAACCACTGAGGACTTTAAGATCATCTGGGGAGGCCCTGATCTCGGTCCCACCTTCGTCACAAGCATGTTTGGTGGGGACGAGACAGGGCCTTCTCAGTGGTGGCCCCTCAGCTATGGAACGCCCTTCCCTAGGGAGATCAGATCTGCTCCCTCTTGATGTTTTGGAGGCAAGTTAAAACGTGGCTATTCGAGCAAGCGTTTACAAATACAGAGTAGCTAATATAGGAAATTGAATGACCTGACAATGGAATTGGACAATGCTTGAGAATAATGAGACGCTGATGATGTTGCTTTTATTGCTTTTGTGATGTTTTATATTTTTTAATTTTTTTATCTATATTATGTTTTATGTATACTGATTTGTTGGAAACCACCTTGAGTCGCCAATTTGCTGAGAAAGACGATATACAAATACATCAATAAATAAATAAATAAATAAATAAATAGGGGGGGATGGACGGACAGGAGTTACACTGAAAAAAATGTCCCTATTCCAACTTACAAATAAATTCAACTTAAGAACAAACCGACATAACTTGGAACTGCCTGTATACTGCTTCAGAGTCTAGTGGAGTCTCCTTCTCTGGAGGGTTTTAACAGAGGTTGGGAGGCCATTTGTTGAGAGTGTTATGATTGTGCATTCTTGCATAAGTTGGACTGGATAGTCCTTACAACTCTATGATTCTGTCTCTGAAAAAAATTGGCCTACCAACAAAAGGAGAGGACAGTTCTAATCTTTCTAGGAGGGGAGTTTGAAAATGTAGGAGCAACCACAAGAAACCTCAGGATCCAGGTGGACTTATATTGAGAGATGTGGTCTGTTGGATAGCTTGGATCTAAGCCATGGCAATAAACCAAATATAAAAGAGTAGCCCACGAGCAGAACATGAGCACAGGTTCATCCTTCTGTTCATCTTCTCTACAAACTGATACAGAAAGGGATGGTGCTCCTAGCCTTTTGAGTTGTAGATTGTTTTTACCCTTAATATCTTCAAGTCATGGTTGGTGGAATCCATTTATGCCACATCTGTGGATACGAAGGAACAGCTATGATTGCATAATGTGAAAGAGACCCAGATCATTAGTGTTGGAGCTTGGTGGTTATAAATGGGGGGGGGGGGGAATGTCACCCCAAACAGGTGTCTGTAGGATTCTGGTAATGTTGAGTCTCTTGCACATCCTGAGTATAAAATTTAGCACTCAAGATGTAAACATTTTTTAAAACTCGTATAATAAAGTGTATTGCTTTTTCTCAAAATCATCACTTTTGGCTTTCCCATTATTTGTTTTTCCACTTAAAACAAAATATTTAATTGCTGATGGCAGCATGCCATAATATCAATATGTTTGATAGCTGTAGCAAACCTTCAATGCATTGATATACTGCCCCCTAGTGACAGGATTAGTAGTGACAGCAAAATAGCAATGGCAAAACTGAGTATTGCTTGTGGAGACTTGCTTATCAGATGAGATATGAGATGGATGTTGTTTTTTAAGATATAGATGGGAATTGAGTGACTTCATTGTAGATGTGACTCATTTTGAAAACTGCCCATGAAAAGATATCAATTGACAAGTTCCACAATCAATACACCAAGGAAAGGGAAGTTGTGGCCCTCCAGATGTTGATGAACTATTACTACCGTCATCTCTGTTTTGAACTGGATTGTATGTGTCTACACTGCCATATAATCCAGTTGAAAGCAGATAATATGGATTTTATATGGCAGCGTAGATGGGGCGTATGATTGCCTAAAGAGAGTTTAGCATCATCCCCAGAAAAAGAAGAATACTCCATCTAGGTTAGGAAAGGCAGGTTTTCTTTGCCAATATGTGCATCTTCAATCCAGTTATTTAAAGTTTTTGACTAGCAAGTTGTTATATCATCCCTTCACATTCATTGGGGTCAGGAGACCCCTGCAAAAGTGAAAAACTTTAATTTAATTTTTTTAAATTTACCTAAAGAAATGTCTAGGAATGTCGTAATACTGGCAGAAGTTGATTACAGAATTGCACTGGAGAATCTAGAACAGTGGTTCCCAACCTGTGGTCTGTGGACCACCAGTGGTCTGTGAGAACTAAAATATGGTCTGCAGCCTCACTGTTAGTACTACAGATAATAACACAGCCAACCAAAAAATAATAATTTTTCTTCGTGTCTTCATTTTTTTGGCCTGTTCCTGGGGTTATTTGGGGTGCTGATTCAGAAATTTGCATTGGATAGAGCCCATCAGCTCTAGATTATTAAATATGATTTTTTGTGGGCAAGCAGATGGTGACTACTGGATGGCATATGTTCTGTATCAGAAGCTAGAGCTGATGTGATGTATCCAAAGCATTTTTTTAATCAGCACCCCAAGTAACCAAACTGAATCTAAAGTTGACCAAAAACTAATTTGTAACCCTTTTGGTACTAATGTTGGAGAATGGTCCCTGGTCAAGTGGTCCCTGGTCAAAAAAAGGTTGGGAACCGCTGATTTAGCGACTCCCAGATAAATGTTTTCTTTAGGACTTCTTAGATTCTCTAGAGCAGTGGTTCTTAACCTGGGGTCCCCAGATGTTTTTAGCCTTCAACTCCCAGAAATCCTAACAGCTGGTAAACTGGCTGGGATTTCTAGGAGTTGTAGGCCAAAAACATCTGGGGACCCCAGGATGAGAACCACTGCTGTAGTGTGACTCTAGGTCCTTCAATGGAAATTGGTCATAAAGTCACATTGGAGAACCAAGAGATTCCTAAAGAGAACATTTTAATCAAATCTGTGAGTAATCAAATCCACAAAACTTAAATCTGCAAATACAGCCATTGATTCAATGCTCCATCCAGTAAATCACACGGACTCTGCATCTCCAAGTCCTTTTCCAGAGCTATGTGTTGCAGCATTCCCTTAATATAATAAATCTCTAACAGAAAATGTTTTCAGGCAAGAAAACTGTACTGTTTTGTCTACATTACTGCATGCTCTCTCTTCTCTTTTCATGGGATTCTGAAGTACACATGCATCTCAGCCTGAGACCTCGTGGCCTTCTTGGGAGATTGTCTAGCTCGGGGGGATTGGCACAGTCCACACACCATCATGACTGCCATGCAACATGGATCCTGTGATTCTCATTATGTATCAAAATACCAGCATAGGAAGGTCTTTCACAGATAAATCTTTTTAAAACTGTGCCTGGTTTCTCTATACCACTCAAAGATTTAGGATACTAATACTGTATTCCTTCAATTCTAAAATGTTCCCTCCCCCTATATAAATATCTCTAAAAATGGGGATGTCTTAGAATCATACTGTATATGTATGTATATATATATATATAGAGAGAGAGAGAGAGAGAGAGAAAGAGAGAGAGAGATTTTTTCTGTTGGTAGTTCTAAAATTAGTGTGTGTTTTACAGTCAGTAGTGTCTTGCAATCAACGAGATACGGTGCATATTGACTATGCTCTTACATTAGATTGGTTGTGCTACGAAACCTCTGCAATGTGGAAGAACCAATGGCACAATGAAATGTGCACCTAGATACCAGTTGGCAGCTTGTGGCTTCCATGCCAGTGGGGTGGTGGAACCATTCCAAGTTTGTGCTAACGCTCAAAGAACTATCCATGGTGCTGAACCAATTCAGGGATGAATTTCAGCATGTTGAACACCACATTTACGTCTTTTAAATGGATCTACCACCCTGCAGACATAGGAGCCACCAGTCACCATAGCTTTCTGTTGGTGGTTATTGAGGAGCCATGGAACCCAATGTACAGATGTGAATGCAACTATACTCAGTCTTCCATATCCACGAACTCTGTATCCATTGATTCAACTATTAAAAGACATTCCAAAGAGCACATTTTGATTTTGTCATTTTATACATACCGTTTTACTACACCAGTAGTAATAGTAATAGTAATAATAATAATAATAATAATATACTTTATTTCTATTCCACTCTATCTCTTCGAGAGGACTCAGAGCGGATTACAGTATACACATATATAGTCAAACATTCAATGCCTTTTATACATTAACAATGACATACATTACAAACAAAGGCAAAGATTTCCCTTTCCACCTCTGGTGTCTGGAGGCGATGCTCAACTCTGGCCATGAGGAGGTGCTCTTGTTCCATTTTTTCATGCCGAGGAGTCTGTTGTCCGTAGACCCTCCTGGTTGTGTTTGCCAGCATGGCTGCCTGGGTGCCTTTTATCTTCCCGCTGAGGCAGTACCTATTGATCTACTCACATTGCATGTATTCAAACTGCTAGGTTTTATAAATTTATATAGTTTGTATTGGTTCTTTGTTTTTTATATGTATTATGATGTAATTTAATTGCTTTTAATTGAGATATGTATATATTTATAGATGGCATCTAATTGTGCCGGTTCTGTATGCCGCCCTGAGTCGCCTTTGGGCTGAAATGGGTGGGATAGAAATGACATAAATAAATAAATAACAAGGTTGGCAGAAACTGGGAGTCCCCTGTGGCACAGTGGGTTAAAGCGCTGAGCTCCTGAGCTTGTTGACTGAAAGGTCGCAGGTTCGAATCCAGGGAGCGGCATGAGCTTCCACTGTCAGCCCCAGCTTCTGCCAACCCAGCAGTTTGAAAACATGCAAATGTGAATAGATCAATAGGTACCGCTCCGGCGGGAAGGTAAGGGCGCTCCATGCAGTCATGCCGGCCACATGATCTTGGACGTGTCTATGGACAACGCCGGCTCTTCGACTTAGAAATGGAGATGAGCACCACACCCCAGAGTCGGACACGACTGGACTTCATGTCAGGGAAAAACCTTTACCTTTTACCTGGCAGAAGCTAGGGCTAACAGTGGGAGCTCACCCCCGATCCATGGCTTTGAATGGCTAACCTTCCGGTCAGCAAGTTTTCTGCAGCTAGCAGTTTAACCCGCTGTGCTACTGCGGTTATTTAATGAGACTTGAATAAAAGGGGCCATAGAACCAAACCCCAGCATATTTCAAGGGTCCATTGTAGATGCACATCCATAACATAATGTTCCGCTCTGCTCCTCTAACCTTGATCCGAATGCAGAGATTATTTATTGGAGAAAAATGCCCTACTCATTCTACTATTTTAGCACATTTTAGTATATGTGCTACTTCAGTAGTACATATACTAAAATGGGAACAATACAGAAAAGATTAGCATAGCCCCTGTACAAGGATGACATGCAAGAATCTAAACAAAATGCCCCATCTGCTTCTGTAGAGAAAAGTATGCAGAAATAAGACACCTACAGGATACCAGCCATTATGACATGAATATGGCATTCCTAATCAAGATATTTCTTGTGACGCTAATGTGAAGGCTGAAGAGTCATTTTACAAGACAGAATTTGATCTTCTCCCTGACTGCTGATTCTCCTTTCTGCTGATTTGGTGTTTTTTATGGGTTTTTAAAGAACTTTGGTAGCAGACTGTGGGATTGAGTGCACCAGAAAAGTTAAATGCCATTTCAGATTCTTGTTCTTGCCTAGGGTTCAAATAGTCGGGGAAAATGGGGTGTTCGGAAACCATGTTTATTATGGCAAATGGTAGTTCCACTGTGTTGTGGCTGTATTTAAAAAGAAGAACGTGATGATGCATCATACATCAAGCCATTCCCTTTTACTTGTCAACTCCTACTCAGCATGTCCAATAGTAAAGGCTATAAAGATATTGCTGGATAGTCACGTTTCCCCGTCCAAATATAGAAGAACCCCAAGTAACTAACAGGAGTGGCACTCTTTGAAAATGTAAATGTGTGAAATGAGTAGGAATCAAATGACCCTCCAGATTAGGCATGGGCAAACATGGAGTTTTGGACTCCAACTCCCACAATTCCTAACAGCCAGTAGGAAATGTGGGAGTTGGAGTCCAAAACACCTGGATGGGCCAGAGTTTTCCCATGCCTGCTCCAGATCCTGTTATACTGAAACCTCCAGCTTTTCTCCTCATTGGTTATGTTACAGGATGATGGGACTTTCTATCCGGCAACATCTGGAGGGCTGTACAGTTCCTACCCAAAATGCTGAATGTGTACATTCTGATAATAATCACCATTGAATATTATAATGGTGATAACTGGCTAGCATTTTCCATTTTTTGAGTTTAATGGGTGCCTGTGGAAGGAACGGATGTAGTGGTTAGGAAAAGATTTCCATTAAAGCAGCTATAGTCACATTTTCAATAAAACTTTCAAAGTATTACTTATTTTCTCACTCACAACTCTTTCCTTATTCTTTCAGACAACCAGTGACGAAAAACACATTTAGACAATACAGGGTATTAGGAAAAGGTGGTTTTGGGGAGGTAAGTAATTTCAAAAAACCTGTGTTAAAAATAGCCCAAGCCTAAGAACTCTGATAGATTGAACATAAAATGTTAATGGCTGTTTGATTTCCATAGTTATTTTTAAATATGGGAAACTTTAGACTTGACCTATTCTTATATATGGTAGATGGGTGTGTGCGTGTATGTGTTTGTGAGAGAGAAAGATAGAGTTTACCTGAATGTTCCGTATATATACTTGAATATAAGCCAACCCGAATATAAGCCGAGGCACATAATTTTACCACAGAAAACTGGGAAAACATATTGTCCCGAGTATAAGCCTAGGATGGGAAATCCAGCAGCTACTGGTAAAATTTCAGAATAAAAATAAATACCAATAAAATAACATTAATTGAAGCATCAGTAGGTTAAATGTTTTTGAATATTTACATAAAACTGTAATTTAAGATAAGACTATCCAACTCTGATTAAACCTTTATTCTAACCTTCTTTAATGTAAATGTGCATACATATCATTTCAATAATAATAAAGAGAGAGTAAAATAATAAATGTCACAATGATAATAATAGAGTAAAATAATGGAAATATATTAATAATAGCAATAATAGAGTAAAATAATAAAATAATGGAAATGTAATAATAACAATAATGCTATAATAAATAGGGTAAAATAATAAATGTAATAAAATAATACTAATAACAGAGTTAAAAAATAAATAACTTGAGTATAAGTCGAGGGGGCTTTTTCAGCCTAAAAAAGGACTGAAAAACTAGTCTTATACTCGGGTATGTACAGTAAATACAAAGTACTGAGAAAGTACATTTGTGAGACCTTGCTTCAAATAGCACTGACTATGTAATATGTTTCATATGTTTTCTTCTCCCTTTGAAATTAGTTCAGGAATATACTTCTTTTGGGGTCAAAATTCTGTAATCCACTTCTGCTGCTGTGTGATTGAACCAGATCATGAAAATGTTGCATGTTTGTACAACAATTCCTGTTGAGGTTATGACTCAGAGTTGTAGACCAAAAACGTAGACCAACTGAAGACCTGTAGTTCAAATAAGTAACTTTTCCAAGACCCTTGAAATTGTGGTTGTTTTAAATTAAAGGTCACACCATTGTGGTTTTAATTATTTTACTGAGAGCCTTTGGACTGAACAGTCTTATCAGAAGTTTCCTGTAGTCGTGATAAAGTATATCACATCACTTACTTTAAATTGGTTTACAGTGCCTCCTGCTTCTCCTTATATGGGACTGTGAATTCCTTCACAATGGCCTTCAAGTATAGCAGAGTTGGCTACCTCTTCCTGCCTCTTGTTCCTCTTTTCTTACCTAAGAGATTATCTTGCTATCTAAGAAATTCCCTTAAGAAATGAAATAAAAGAGTTGCCACATGTCAAAGAGAAACTTTGCTAACTAATTCTCTGATTTCCTCTCAATGTAATTTCCTTCTTGTAGCAATTATTTGGTTTTGGTTTTTTTTCCCCTTTAGGTATGCGCTTGCCAAGTACGGGCAACTGGCAAAATGTATGCATGCAAAAGATTAGAGAAAAAAAGAATAAAGAAGAGGAAAGGTGAATCCATGGCCCTAAATGAAAAGCAGATTCTAGAAAAAGTCAATAGTCAATTTGTAGTAAGTATTGCCAGATTTGCAGCGGGCACCAGCTTTCCATTAGGTAACATTTCCATCTGTGAATGGGGTTGGTCACAGGAAGTGTACAGGGTGCATCTTCATTCTAACCAGATTTCAGATGTGATGGATGGTTTTCATTCTCATTGCTGATACAATTTTTGAAGTGCCAATTTTGAAATAACTAAGTGGTTTCATGACATGTTGTTAACTATTGACAGCTCTCACTTACAGGTTCAAGTCCCTGCGCACTGCTGGGAAAAGTCTTTTCCAACCTTACAACCTATTGGATTACAAAAGTAAAATGCCTACACTAGTAGGAGGACTAGATCACTGCTTCTTACACTGTGGGTCCCAACCCCAAATGGAGTCTACTTAGCTCAGTGCTTCCCAACCTTTGGTCCTCCAGGTGTTTTAGATTTCAACTCCCAGAATTCCCAGTCAGCTTACCAGCAGCTAGGAATTGCAGGGGCTGAAGTCCAAAATACCTGGAGGACCAAAGGTTGGGAATCACTGCCTTAGCTCAATGTTGTTATTATTATGAGTAATAGTATTTTTTTTAATATCCCGCTTTGTCTCTTCATAAGGAGACTCAAAGTGGCTAACATTAAAAGCATCGCAATACAATTTAAATATACAGTGTTCCCACACTTATTGTGAGTGGTACGTTCCAGGAACACCCACGAAAAGTGAAAATCTGGGATGTAGGGACACAGGAGCCTGGAAGAGCCAGCCAGGGACCTGCTTCTGCAGCCGCTGCTGCCGTTGCCGTCCTTCTCACTTGCTCACCCACCCACCCCTCGCTTGCTGCTCACCGGGCCGAGTCCTGGTTCTGCCACTGGGACCCAGCCCAGTGAGTGAGCAAGCAAGGGAGGGTGGGTGAGTGAGCGAGCAAGGGCAGCAAGGGCAGCAGCAGTGGCAGATTCAGGAGCCTGGCCACCTCTTCCAGGCTCCTGCTTCTGCCACTGCTTCTACCTTTGCGGCCTTCCTCACTCACTCACTTGCCCTTCTTTGCTCGCTCACTACTCACCAGGCCGTGTCACAGTGGTGGAACCAGGACTCGGCCCGGTGAGTAGCAAGAAAAGAAAACTGCAAAACAGCGAGTCCGCAAAAAAACAAACCGCCAAGTAGCAAGGGAACACTCTACAAATATTAAAACAGTATTAAACAACAATGGTATTAAAAACAATTAAGATTAAATCCATGTTGGGGTCTCAAAAAATTGGCAACATTAAAGTTTTACACAGATCGGTTAGCAACATCATTCTGTGTTTAAAGTGGATTCTGCCGAAATGCTTCAGCTTTACTCCAAAAAAGTAAAACCAGGCTGTTTAGTAAGCCTTGAAAATGCTGATTTGTTATCACTAAATACTTTATTTCTATACTTATTTTATATACCTATATACTCATTGTCGTGCAAAAAAAATATCAGGCGGAAAAGGATTGCATTTGGAAAAAGTGCAAGAGGCCCTGGACTGGATGACTTCTAGTTCATCTAGTCCATCTGTCACATGTGGTTATTTGTGGAAGTATGAATCTGTACTTATGCATGAACTGTGTTTCATTATATGCACCATAAATCTTGAAGTAAATTTTTATAGTTGGCAGATTTATCCAGCTCTTCTTTCTTCCTTGTATTCATATGATACCTTATTTCATTCCTCTTGCTAGCAATAGATAATTATTTATCAAAAATGTTCTTATTCTTATACTGTCCTCATTGCCTTTCTAGGTCAACTTAGCCTATGCTTATGAAACAAAGGATGCACTCTGTTTAGTTCTAACCATAATGAATGGAGGTGACTTGAAGTTCCACATCTATAATATGGGAAATCCAGGCTTTGAGGAAGAAAGAGCTTTGTTTTATGCTGCCGAGATCCTTTGTGGCTTAGAAGATTTGCATAGAGAAAACACTGTATACAGGTAAATGTTGTTCTGATATCTTCAGAAATTTTGGGGCATGTACTTTTCTCAAAGAATTTATTATGATCCATATGTGATGTTTCCACCTGTAGATATTCCAGTTGTTACGTTCAGGTATTGAATGTTTGCCTTTTATGTTAGGAATCCGCCCTGAGTCCCTTCGGGGAGATAGGGCAGAATATAAATAAAGTTTTATTATATTATTTATTTACAGTATTTATTTTCCACCCTTCTCACCCCAAAGGGGACTCAGAGCGGATCAAAGAACATATATATGGCAATCATTTGATGCCAATTAGACGAAAACAGAACAGACAGATGGAGGTATATATGTAGACTTCTCATCTTTTGCCATCTTTTTGGAGGCCGTGCTTGGTTCCAGCCATGGGAGAGTGCTATCGCTCCATCTTCCCTGTTGAAGAGCATTTGTAAAATTTCCTCCTTTTTTTATTGTTGTGCCTTATTTTTAATACCTCCCCGCTTTAATGCAGTACCCATTTATCTACTTACATCAATGTTTTCGATCTGCTAGGTGGACAGAAGCTGAGCTGAAAGGCCGGGTGCTCACCCCAGCCTGGGCTTTGAACTGACAACCTTACAGTTGGCAAGATTTACTACAGCTGACAGCTTGGCAATTAGCCTGCTTAGCTAAAGCCCGGCCATTATTATTATTATTATTATTATTATTTTCCAAGTTCAGTATCTTTATAAAGCAGTTTGGAGAAAAAGAGCTGGGACCTCGGTTTAAAGTTTCATTAGCCGCAGTAGTCTGTCCACAATAAGGATATTCAGATATATGGGCTCATATGCTCATAGCATTCCTGCCACGGAGGACCTACGTAGGAAGGGAGTATTACTCAGTGTTATAGTATGTACTCTAAAGACAGGAAAATGGGAATTGTTTTATATTTCTAAACAGAAGAATCCAAGATAGGCGGTGTTTTCCACATACTTGAAAAACTCCCCTAAACTTACATGTACAGAAAATGAGTCAAGTAACCATCTCTCTAATATGCTGCCTTTTGGTCTTTGATGATCTTTTTACACTAGGATATGGACATCCAAACAAGTGATTGCTTTCCCAAAATGGGGAAAATGTCATTTTTTCGTTATAATTCCTATAGTTGAACACTATCACCCTCATAACTCTGAGATCAGTGCGGTCCCCAGAAGACTGCATTTTAATGATTTCTCTGTTGTGTAGATCAGCCCTAAATCTGTTCTTGTAAACCTGGAGCTGCTAGTATGCCTTGGGGATATACTGAACTCATCTTCATGACTTCCATTGCCTATACTTTGTGCATAACCAGGAAATTGAGCACCAATACAATGTTTGTCTTTATGTGTGTCTCCTTTCTTCTGAGAATAACGTTACTGGCACCCTATACTACTTTCAGTATACATGCAGAAGAATGATGCGACACTGCCTAAGGAGCACAAATTATGAGGAAATAGTGTATTTTTAAAAATAGGCTACAGCTTAAATCATTCAAACAGCCCATGCCTGTTGTCAAAATGTGGGCATTAACTTTGTCATCACAAGCATAATATTGATTTAGGTTCTATTTTCCTGTCATACTCGTGAATTCAGGGAAGTTCTTTGGAAAGCCATTGCTTGAAAGAATACGGCAAAAGGAGGGTATGGGAGTCACTCCATGAAAATGGAGTGATAAGCTTGAAGTACAAGAATTTTGTTGTACTTTCTATTCTCTATATATAATTTTTCAAAAATCCTGGAAAAAAAATAGGAAGCTCCCTCATTTATCCTTTTGTGTAATCCTCATAGCTGATACGGTGGATGCTGCAGGACAAAACTTTTGAATTGGCTAAATTATCATTAAGTAAAACTAGTAATGTCGCAGTTGCACAGCGAGTTAAGTTGCTAAGCTGCAGAAGGTCAGGGGGTTGAATCCACAGACAGGATGAGCTCCCATTGTTAGCCCCAGCTACTGCCAACCTAGCAGTTTGAAAACGTGCAAATGTGAGTAGATCAATAGGTACTGCTTTGGCGGGAAGGTAAGGGTGCTCTATGCAGTCATACCGGCCATATGACCTAGGTGGCATCTATGGACAACACTAGCTCTTGAGCTTGGAAATGGAGATGAGCACCACCCCCAGAGTTGGGTATGACTAGACTTAATGTCAAGGGGAAACTTTTACCTTTACTTAAAACTAGTATCTGATTTCAAACATTTTTTAGGTAATTGCTTTTCAAAAGATTTCTATTGTATTAATACTCAGCTTTCTTCCTTTCGATTTTCTCCTCCTTTTTTGCAAGAAGAATTAGTTTACACACTAATTAGAAGCAAGAATTATGTGACTGTCTTTATTTCTGTAAGAGGGAAGAGAGTAGCTTTCGAAATCAGTAGAGTAGCCCTCCAAACCCATTGAACTTTATTTCCACTATAGTGATGGCTAACAGCATGTTGTGGTCAAAGTAGTCTTGAAGGCAAAGCTATGATGCAGCCACTTTGTAGAAAGCTAAGCAGGTCAGAATCTGGTCAGTGCTTAGTTGAGAGACAGTCTGGGAACCCCATGTATGCTGCCTTTACTTGATAGTTACTAAGATTATGATTAGCCCTTGGCTTCTTGATTTATGCCAGTGGTTTTCAACCTTTGACCCACTGTCTGGGTCCATCTCCCAGGATCTCTGAGTAGAGGCTATTCTAGCAGAGGCTCCTGGGAGTTAGTCCAAAACATCTGGAGACAGAGAACATGAAAAACTGAGTTATATGTCAACTGGAGAGAAGAAGAAACTGGCACAGCTCCATTATGCCTGGGCCAGAAGCAGATGAAAGGCCCTCCAACTATCCCAAATGCCACTGCACCAGCTAAGCCAAGGACAAGAGGGGGAAGAGAATTGTGGAGATCCAGTGGCACCAAACCAGTTTCAGTGCCTCAGAGCAATGTGGACCCCATCCAACCACTGGTGCAGAAACCTGCCAGTTGTTGAGCATTGTCATATGTGACCTATGTAGATGGGCCCTTAGTGTATAAACAATCTCCAGTAAAAAGGCTTTGCAGGGTGGGGATGGGGTGGTATATTCTCATTCTGTGAAGGATCTTCAAGGTCAAAATCAGCATTGAGTTGGAAACAACTGAAAACCAATTTGCAAAGCCAATGCATAATATGACCATGACATGATGTTCCAGGTAACTGCCACACAGCCATATTCTGGAGTAACTGCAATTCCCAAATCACCTTCAAGGACTGCTGTACACATACTGCATTTACAGTAATACAATATGGGTAACTACCAAGGCATAAATAGTTGGGGCTGTCCAGCTACAGCCTCAGCAGAGACATATAAACTGGGAGAAGATGCACAAATACAACTAGTCTCTAGTTACAGACATGGATCACAAGTGACTCCTGAAATTAATTTGTCCTTTTATGGAGATTACAACCCCTTATAGCTCAGGAGGAACTCTACTAAGCCAAACAAATAAACCATCCATCAACTAGGCCTTTCTTTTCTTTTTTGGAGATTTAGTGGCAAACTAGGGAAATACCATCAACATCTCCATTAAAATAAATTTCAGTTTCATGTTACAACGTGGGAAAGTTTTATCATACTCCAGTTCCAATCAAGTGGCTATAATGATAAATATAGTACTGCCTTTTATTTCTCTGGGGCCCATTTTGGAATTTAGACTCTATGTGTGTACTTAGAAGCTTTCAGTATAGTTTACATTAGATATCAAGAGGGATTCCTTTCTGGGCAATTGTCCCTAGAAATAAGATTCTAATCTTGTTTCTCCCCAAAGTTCTTGACATCAATTCCACATCATTTTAATAAATATCATTTATGAAAGACCACAGCATGAATGAGTAGACAATTTTCAAAGGTTTGAAGTGTAACAAATTTGTACCAGTTTGCCTAATACCCCTTTCCTTTCTCAAAGGAGAAAAAAATGATCTGAATCATGTACTATTATATTATACATAGATATAGATATCAATATAGATATATATTCTCTACATGTCATGCTTATCAAATTCTCAGATGGTATTTAATAACCCAGAGGACAGGATAAGAATTCAAAAGAACTTTGACAAATGGAGACCTGGACCAAAACTAAAATGAATTTCACAAGGATAAATGTAATAATACTTTATTTATATTCCGCTCTATCTACCCGAGGGGGCTCAGGGTGGATTACAGAACACATATACGGCAAACATTCAATGCTGTTATACAAGTAACAAGGACAGACAAATGGAGGCAAAGGCTTTTCTCATCTTTTCCCATTTCCGGCATCTGGAGGCTGTTCTCGACACAGGGAGGTGCTGTCGCTCCATCTTCCATGCTGAGAAGCTTTGTCATCTGTAGATGTCCTCCCGATCGAATTGCCATCATGTCCTCATGGGCGCCTTTTATTACCTTTCCTTTAAGATGAAGTACAGATTGTTGCTTAAAGCTCCCCACTTAAAGCAGTTGCTATTTATCTACTCATATTTCAGTTTTTTATCTGCTAGGTGAGCAGAAGCTGGGGCTGATGGTGGGCGCTCACCCTGACTGGGGCTTGGACTTCCAACTTTACAATCAGCAGGATTTTATGCAGCTTAGTGGTTTAACCTACTGTGCTAAGCCTGGCCCCTTCATTTAGGCAGGAAATATACTACATTTAAACAGGAAAAATGAACTTCACAAATGTAGGATTGGTGATTCTTGGCTTAAAAGTAGTACAAGTGGATCTAGGGATCTCAGTAGACTTCAAAGTAAGTATGAATCAACAATGTATGTGGCAGTCAAAAAACAAATGCAATTCTGGACTGCATCAACAGGAGTATAGTGCCCCAATTGAGGGAAGTATTTGTTCCACTCTCATCTGCTTTGATCAGATCTCAATACTCTGTCCATTTTGGGACACCTAAGATCAAGAAGTATTTTAACAAGCTGAGACATATATAGAGAATGATTGTCAACATGATCAAAGATCTGTATACCCAGACTTATGATGAATAACTTAACTGGATATGTTTAGCTTGGAGAGGA